CCCCCAACCCGGACCCCCAATTTATCTGACAAAGGGGTATCTGGACATACAAAAATGCTTTTAGCTCAAAAACTACTCAACATAGGAGCTTCAGATTTTCGTTGGTTGTTTAGCTCTGATGAGGGGCTATCCATCAGGTCAACCAACGCCCCCCCCAAAAACAAAGACCCCCACCAAAACCACTACAATTTTGGGATGCACCTAGTAGCATGACATGTATTAGGAATAACGATTTCTGAGTTCTTGTATGTGCGGGGGTCATTATGTTACCGCTATGTGGTATCTAGTATCTAGTTTTGTCTTGTAAAGCATCTTTAAGTGTCCTAAAAAGTGCTATATAAGTTTGTTGTATTATTACTTTTTTTATTATTATACTGCAGTGTTTTATTACAGAAAAATTATGCTAGTTCAAAGTTTAGAGCATTGGCTGCTTTGGCACACTTCAAATTTTCCTCAGCTTTTTGGTTATAAATATTTTTTTACTGTTGTAGCAGTAAACTGTATTTGACTGTAAGCAGTTCAGAAGCTGGTGACCTCCTGGTCCTCATTGACCTCTGGTGTGGAGCTGCTGCTCTGTTATTATTCTGCTTCTGTGTGGAATAACACTTACAGTTGAACAGAAAGAAGCTCTCACCTCACAGCTGCTGAGGTCCAGATGAAGATCAGTAATGTGAGGATTGGAGGTCAAACCACTGAGGACAGCCCTGTGGGGAGAAAAACAGAGATCAAGAAATAAAGACCTGATTGAAACAGCTGCACCTCCTTTTTGTTCCAGTGCAAAGGAGTTAAGACGAGGACAGCAGAACAAATGTCCAGTACCTCAGAACATCAGGGGGCAGCTTCATAGAGGCCAGACTGACATGAGTGAGGCTGAAGGCTGAGCTGAAGAACTGACGAAACAACGGCAGCATGTCCTTCACTTTTCTGCCAAGTTAGGAAGAATCACAGAAGTGAAAGAGTGTGACTTTGGAGTGAGGATATGGTCCACAGCGTGGGGATAAGATGAGCTCCGTCAAACACATCAACTCTGATGGTCTTTGACGATTATAATACAGGTCCTTCTAAAAAAATTAGCACATTGTGATAAAGTTCATTATTTTCTGTAATGTACTGATAAACATTAAACTTTCATATATTTTAGATTCATTGCACACCAACTGAAGTAGTTCAAGCCTTTTCTTGTTTTAATATTGATGATTTTGGCAAAAAAGTAAAGAAAAACCGAAAAACCCTATCTCAAAAAATTAGCATATTTCATCCGACCAAAAAGAAAAGAGTTTTTTTAATATAAAAAAGTCAACCTTCAAATAATTATGTTCAGTTATGCACTCAATACTTGTTCTGGAATCATTTTGCAGAAATGACTGCTTCAGTGCAGCATGGCATGGAGGCAATCAGCCTGTGGCACTGCTGAGGTGTTATGGAGGTCCAGGATGCTTCGATAGTGGCCTTAAGCTCATCCAGAGTGTTGGGTCTTGTGTCTTAAGCTCATCCAGAGTGTTGGGTCTTGTGTCTTGGGCTAGAGTGTTGGGTCTTATGTCTCAAGCTCATCCAGAGTGTTGGGTCTTGTGTCTTGGGCTAGAGTGTTGGGTCTTGTGTCTTAAGCTCATCCAGAGTGTTGGGTCTTGTGTTTTGGGCTAGAGTGTTGGGTCTTATGTCTCAAGCTCATCCAGAGTGTTGGGTCTTGTGTTTTAAGCT